AACCACACAAAAACCCACACCCACACACACCACACAACAACCACAACCACACACCACCCCCAAAACAACCCCAAACACACACACCCCACACCCCACACACACACCACACACACACACACACCCCAAAACACACACACAAAACCCAAATGGCGCATAAATCTTCGACTTGGAAAACTTGGGAAGACTTTTTTACAGGGTGGGGAACGTAAATGTTGTTCCGGTTTTTAACAAGGGGGAAAAATCAAAAAATTTAAAATAAAAACTAATAAACCCTTTAGGAGTGGGCTGTCATAAAATGGTTTTTAGGGGAAAAAGGGTAAAAAAAGTGGTGCAAACCTGGAGAGGGCATCCTGAACCACAACCAACACGAAAAATTTTGGAAAGGAAAGGGAAAGGGTTTGGGGCGGTAAATTTTTTGGAAATGTTTTTGGGTGAAAAATGACCACTTGAGCAAAAGTGGGTTTTTCAGTTCCCTTTCAAAGAAAGTAAATAAGGATCAGAAGGGGTTGATGAATCAGTCCCTCAACCCTTTAGTCGATGGTTTAGTCCCTCAATCTTGATTGATGGACTGAAAACATCGGGCTCCAAAGGTTTGAGGGACTTTATTACTCATTCTCCTCTTTTCTTCATGTTTTCCTACGGGTTGGGGCTGATTTAAGCCACTGGGTGGCGAAAAGTTTCCCCATAAAAATACCCCAAAAGGTTGCACGGGGGGTAAAAACAGTTTCCCCCGGAAAACTGTCTCCATAAAAAAAGGGGAAAAAAAGACAGGGATGAGGGGGAGAAGTTTGGTTGGCCCGCAACGAGGAAGAAAACAAGGAAAGGGGGGGACCTAGGGTTCCCAGTGGGCCCAGCGTGACGAGTGGGTTTCCCCAAACCGTTCTTCTGTGTCCATAGCTCGGTTTGGGAGCGCACTAAAACCCCAGGTATACCCCACACGTGGTTTTTATCCCGGTAAGGTGGAAACATTAGGGACATGTTTCCTTAAGGGAAACCCGCTTTTCCATGTTCACCTACAGTAAAAATAGGTACCTGGGTGTTAGTGGATTTGGGGTGCGTCGCATCCGGGACAAAAATGACCCAAATTTTTTTTGGGAAAAGTCAGAAAAAAAAGGGGCTTTCTATTAGTAGTTTGTCATTTATGTCGCTATGGTTTTGTTTAACCCTTTCAAAGGGACTGGTATATACAAAGATTGTTATTATTATCTCGTGGAAAGTACACCTTACGAGATTTGTGTTCTACGCATCCCCTTGAAGACATTGGGGCAAATTTAAAACGGTAAGACAGCGCAGGCCGGGTGACACAGGGGGTGCACAAAATTTGGGAAAAAGGCTCGGGGTATGAGAATATCAAATCGTTTAAAATTGATAAAACTCTAACCCGAGTGAAAACCCCTTTAAACTAACTGAAAATTAAAAACAGATACCTTTAAATCGTAAATCGGACTGTGGTTTTGTACGTTGGGCCCCGTGCGGCCGCAGTAACAGCCTGGTTTATCAGCCCCGATTCCCCCACGCGGTTTGGGGCATGGACCGGGGTTGCAGGGGGGTTGACCCCCCAAAGGGATCCTCCAGGGTTTTTCCTGTGCTCCCCGGTGGCGAGCGTCCCCTGAGGCCCAAGGGGGGGCTCCACAAGCATTTTACTACCCGCCATTATTAATGAAAGTCCCCAAAAAATGTACGTTATACCCGGAATCTTGGGCATCAATGTATCGCTTTTGATTGATGAGTTTAAGCCCATTTTAGGTTTTTAGTGTTATAAATAAGGGTCCCGTGGTTTCCCACTGTCATAGGTTTCACGATAAACACTTATTAGAAGTTTGAAGAAATCCCGGGGGACACTACCCAATCTCTCTCTTTTTCTCTCCTCTCTTTCTCTCTTCTCTCTCTCTCTCTCTCCTCTCTTTCTCTCTCTCTCTCTCTCTCTCTCTCTCTCTCTCCATTTGTTCCAGAGCGTAATTGCGTATTTGAGGAGTCAGGGAAAAGTGCGTTTACGGGCGTTACGCAACACATCCGCTTCTTGTCACGCATTTTTACGCGCGACGCAAATTTAAAGCCCGAGGGCGGGAGGTAAAGGGGAAAGGGGGGGGAAACTCCGTTTCTCTAGAGGACAAATCTAACACACATTTAGGGGGGGGAGGGAAAGGGGTTTGCTCTGTTTATTGGATCAAGAACCCCTTAAGATAATGATGCCATTAAAAAAGAGGAACAGTACTTGGGATCCATCTATTTGTAATGTGGGATCATCTTCTTTCCTATATTTTCACTTTTAAAATCTGTCCCCCTTTCTCCACCTTCCTTTACCGTTTTTCCCAAATTTTTTGTTAGTTGAAGGTCAGCCTTTTGGGGGGGATCCCAAAAAAAGCCCAAATTTGAGCTTCAATCGCTCCCTTTACTCACCCCAAAAGGGGCTAGGGGCTGTGATTCGACCCCTGAAACCACAAATAGGTGAGTACACACACACACCACCCAGTCCAATGTACCTCAATTATCCCAGAAAGGTATCCCCGTATTGAATAATCCCAGTTCCTTGTACCTCGATGCAAGCGAAAGGTATAGTGCAGAGTGAGGCTTGTTTGTAACCTAGCTAGATATTAACGCTGAGAACTTTAAATGCCATAAAAAGCTCTTGCAAGTTATCACATGGAGACTAATATCCCAGCCTCCAAACTTCCCACCAAGGAAGACCAGCTTTAAAAGTTTAAAACCGAGCTGAAGAGGTATTATTGGTGTTATCTCATAGGAGGCGGGTGCAATGTGTGGCTGGGTTGTGCCCTGCCGGTGCTACCATGACGTGAAGTGCAATGATTAGTTACTTCAGCGCCATGATGTGGACAGTGAGACTGCCATGACATGTCAGATCTTCGTCTCACTATCATGATTTACAACAGTGAGATTACCATGACATGTATGATTCTCGTCTCACTACCATGACATGTAAGATACTATGATACTAAGACCCTCGTCTCACTACCATGATCTATAACAATGGTTCTCAGTACATCTTAGCAGTGGAAAAATAAACAAGTCACAAACAGATCTGTTTGTGACTTGATAAAGTCCACTGTGTGGGCGAAACGTTGTCGATAAAGGATCACATTATGCTGTTTATGTGTTTATATTTCCATTGTGACGGTGTTTTATACCATTTACTTACATCTTAGCAGTGATGATCCTCGGCCGCTTCTAAATTATATCAGTCCTGTGCATCATTAATTGAAAAACGTTGAACTGAGATGTTTGTATTCACTCTGAGATTGAGTACGGAGGCTTGTACTCTCTCTGAGGTCGATTTTGACACTCTTACATCTACACATCAGTACACACCCTCGCTCACCCACTTTTATTTAAAAAAAAAAAGATCATTAGAATCCTTTGCACAACTGGTGTTTGAGAGTGGGTGATGTAGAGGGCCTTGCGTCACTAGCGTGAGACCTTCAGCATGCAATCTCCCTGCGTGTAACTCTATAGGAAGTGTAGGGACGCTCTAGCGAACGCTAGTGAGGACATCACTCTATATGTGTGACGCCAGGGGCGGATCTGCTATGAAACTTGTGAATCTTAAGCTTTAGGGACCCTAATCCTGGAGGGGCTCCAACAGCGACTTCAGTCCACATTGCTTAAAAATCTAGGGTCTACTGTATGACAAGGTGTTGCGAATGGGCCCCTATAACAGCTTCAGGGCCTCAGAAATGTAGGGCCGCACATTAATGAGGTTATGATCGGAGTGTGTTGTGCCGGAGATTATGTTGTCTACGATCAGTGAAGGTCTGGTCTGGTGTATTCTCTTCACCATTGGGTTCTGTTATCTGTTGGTTCAGAGTAAATTTCACAAATCTCTGTCAGCTCTGTTTTATGTGTTACATTCTTTCCAGCATCCAGATGCTGGAAAGAACACGAAGGCACAATACTGTGTCTGCAACATTGCACAAATAACCTGCACATAGGAGAAGGAAACGTGATCATTACGTTTCACGTATGTGCGGGTTATTTATACATTGTTCCAGGTACTATGTCTGGTTCATTGTTGTCTACCATCCTTCACATAACTCTTGGAATGTTGAACTGTCTGTGGAGTACCCACCACGGAGGGTATTCCACGGAGTATCCCCCACGGAGTACCCTCCACAGTTATTTCAGCTTTCCAGAGGTTAAATAATATTCGGTGTAGGATCTTAAATGATATTTGGTAAAGGATTTATGAAGACTTTGATTGCCACTATCTTCCCCAGCTGTTCCCTGAATTACGCTGCGCTAGTTGATGTCTGTTTGTCAACAAAGGTAAACACCAGAGTTTTGTTCTCTATAACACCATGATGTTTCACTCGTAGGAGGCCCCGAGTTGGTTCTCCCGTAGTTGCAATACCCTTGTTTGTATATTATGCCTGTAGTAAACGATACCCTGGGGTCTCCTACGAGTGAAACAGACTGTACTTCTATCATGCGATCAGTTCCAGTTTCTGCGACTTATTGCTCTCCCGTATCAATGTAAATAGTAACTTGGCACTTGCAAGTTTCTTTCTGAAACTTGTGTTTCTGTGAACGCTACTTTTATACCTTTGATATACCTCCCCCTTGATCAGTTTCGAGAGTTTTTCTACTGCCAGAGCCCGGCCGTGCGCCAGGCTTGTTCGGTGCTTGCCTGTTCAACCAAGCTGTTGCTATTGGTGGCCCGCAGACCGCCAGTCTATTTGGTACTAAGGTGTGTGTGTGTGTGTGTGTGTGTGTGTGTGCATACTTAACACACACACACACACGCATACACAAACACACACACACACAAGCACACACACTCAAGCACACACACACACACAAGCACACACACTCAAACACACACAAGCACACACACTCAAACACACACAAGCACACACACTCAAACACACACACGTCACGTAAAAAACACCCCAGCATAACATTAACTGGCAACGCGACAGAGGAGAGTGAAAGTAAGATATATAAACCAGGGGAGACTTATAGCATCTCCATCTGGAGGAGACCCGAGCTGGAACAGCACCGACCAACCTATAACTAATTACAGCATCAACACATCTCCCGCGTCAGCATCCTGTTAGGACCATCTCCCCCTTCCTGCTGCTCCTCCTTGAGTAACGCAGGACTCCCTTCCTCCAGCTGCTGGGTCCTACACGAGACACAACAACAAATCATGTTATCCATGAGAGTGGTACGTCAGGTTTCCGGCGTTTGTTCATTCCATCATGACTGGGAGGACGGGGGGGGGGGTTGACGCCGGGGTGAGCAGATTATTATTATTATTATTATTATTATTATCAAAAAGAAGCGCTAGACCCATTAGGGTCACACAGCGCTGGGAAAGCAGAGGTGGTCTGTTTTGATCTAAGAAGGAATAGCGCCAGTTCCTTGGATTAAGAGATAATCAGCAGCATTAAGACACCTCGTCCCCTTCAAGGCTCTGTAAGTGGTGAGACTGAGCTCAGTAAGTGGTAATATAGAGCTCAGTGAGTGGTAATATAGAGCTCAGTAAGTGGTAATATAGAACTCAGTAAGTGGTAATATAGAACTCAGTAAGTGGTAAGGCTGAGCACAGTAAGTGGTAAGGCTGAGCACAGTAAGTGGTAAGGCTGAGCACAGTAAGTGGTAAGGCTGAGCACAGTAAGTGGTAAGGCTGAGCACAGTAAGTGGTAAGGCTGAGCACAGTAAGTGGCAAGACTGAGCACAGTAAGTGGTAAGGCTGAGCACAGTAAGTGGCAAGACTGAGCACAGTAAGTGGTAAGGCTGAGCACAGTAAGTGGTAAGGCTGAGCACAGTAAGTGGTAAGGCTGAGCACAGTAAGTGGTAAGGCTGAGCACAGTAAGTGGCAAGACTGAGCACAGTAAGTGGTAAGGCTGAGCACAGTAAGTGGTAAGGCTGAGCACAGTAAGTGGCAAGACTGAGCACAGTAAGTGGTAAGGCTGAGCACAGTAAGTGGTAAGGCTGAGCACAGTAAGTGGTAAGGCTGAGCACAGTAAGTGGTAAGGCTGAGCACAGTAAGTGGTAAGGCTGAGCACAGTAAGTGGTAAGACTAAGCACAGTAAGGGGTGACACTGAGACAAATTTGTGTCTCGCCCTGTGCTCTTTTTCGCCAGTGTTGAGAAAAGTGCAGGATTCGGTATGACTGGTTTGGTTAACCGGGGGTTTAAATCCTATCGACTGCACGACACTCATTAAGCCTGTCTTAACAAAAAAATATAGACACCTTATTTTTAAAACAACCTTCACGACCCTTGAGCAGCCGATAGGATTTAAACCCAGTTAAGCAAATAGTTGGTGAGGGTATGTATGATGACCCTCTCGTATATACAGTGGAAACTCGGTACTCGAACAGCTCTGTACTCGAACAATTCGGTATTCGAACAGACTGGCACTCGAACAGCCTTCTGGAACAAATTAAGTTCGAGTACCGAGGTTCCAATGTATATACTTTGGGGAATTACCAATAGATTCCTGGCTGCCTTCAAGATGGAACTGGACAGACACCTAAAGTAAATACCCGATCAGCCGGGCTGTGGTTCCTATGTTGGACTACGTGCGGCCAGCAGTAACAGCCTGGTTGATCAGGTCCTGATCCACCGGGAGGTCTGGTCGTGGACCGGGCCGCGGGGGCGTTGACCCCCGGAACATCCTCCAGATAAGTAACTAAAGACACCCATGGTCTTGTTAGGTGTTTTATTACGATAATGATATGAAATAGCGACATGATAAGGAATTATACACATGTTTATGTTTATCTGAAGACGTTTCGCTAATCACTGGCTTCATCAGTGCAATACCGAGTAGATATACGTAAAGGCAGAAGATGAGGCACTCAGTCCCTCAGTATGGAGTCGATGGACTGATTACCTCAAACTTCTCATCGTCTACCTTCCTCTGCATTGGACTGAAGAAGCCACTGGAAAGCGAAAAGTTTCCAGAAAGATACCCAAATGTTGCAAAAGTGTCTTATTTATCAGTCCCTCGGATGTTTGTCGCCTCTGGACGTGCCAGGGACCTCACAGGACCCATCAGTAGAGTGACAACAATAACCCAGAGTCTTACTAGCAGTTACCTAAGGTCGTCAGTTATGTCACCTTCTCCCCCAGGTGACGGCGGCGGTGGTAGTGGTGGTGGCGTTGATGGTGGGTCAGAATGTTGGTGTTGGGGTGACGCAGATCGCCAGGGAAGTCGAAGGCATCACCAAGCGTGAGTATAAATACTCTCGCATACATTCACGTTCCTCTCATACTCATCTTCCTCTCATATTCATCTTCCTCTCACTCTCGTTCATCCTCAAGTGCATCATGTTTATCTCCCTCGCTTCACTGACAGCCTCGTCACTACGTAACAAAAATCACTCCGGCATAACCCATCCGAAGTTGTCAGGTCACTTACACTGTCTCTCCTATCTCTTCTTTTCCGTTTACAACTTTATTTTCACTGCTCTATCCTCTCCCATTCTTGCAGTCTCTCTATTGATCCTAAAAATATACTTCGTTAGCGCCAATAGCATTATTATTTTTATTATTATTGCTATTATTATTCTGTAATTATTATTAGTAGTAGTAGCACTGAGAATAGTTAAAGCCATAAGGGTTATTCTGCACCTGGAATAATAATGATAATAATAATAATAACAGTTTGTGTTCTTAATTCTTTGGGGTTTGCAGTTAGAGGAGACCTGGCGGTCCTGGATCCCTCGAAGAGAACCAAGAGGTCTCCAATCTTCAGTCTCTTCAGACGGAGTCGCAGCAGGAGTAAAGGAAAGAAGCCTAGCACCTCATATGGTGCTCCTCCTAGCCCATCCTATGGAGCTCCTCCAAAGGCTCCTAGCCCATCCTATGGAGCTCCTCCAAAGGCTCCTAGCCCATCCTATGGAGCTCCTCCAAAGGCTCCTAGCCCATCCTATGGAGCTCCTCCCAAGGCTCCTAGCCCATCTTATGGAGCACCTGCTCCTAGCCCATCTTATGGACCCCCTCCAAAGGCTCCTAGCCCGTCGTATGGAGCACCTGCTGCTCCTAGTCCGTCCTATGGGGCACCTCCTGCTCCTAGCCCATCCTACGGGGCACCTGCTGCTCCTAGCCCATCCTATGGGGCACCTGCTGCTCCTAGCCCATCTTACGGGGCACCTGCTGCTGCTCCTAGTCCGTCCTACGGGGCACCTCCTGCTCCTAGCCCATCCTACGGGGCACCTGCTGCTGCTCCTAGTCCGTCCTACGGTGCACCTCCTGCCCCTAGCCCATCCTATGGGGCGCCTGCTGCTCCAAGCCCATCCTATGGGGCGCCTGCTGCTGCTCCTAGCTCATCCTACTCTGCTCCCTAATATATTCGTCATGTTTCTCGCATTATATAAATTTAGTACTGTTTGTAGTCATCATTCACAGAGCACAGCAGAGAAAATGTGGGGCTAGTTAGATTAGAGACGTGTGTAAAGCTCCTCTCTCCTATGTGCTGGATATTTGTGTATTGTTCCAGTCACGGTATTGTGCCTCTTTGTTCTTTACAGTATCCTTGACTGGTGGTGGACAGGTAACGTGCAACCTGAATGACCCCTCCTTCAGTCGACAACCTTTCTAACCCAACCAACGTTATCTTAAAGGGGAGTTTCTGAGTTCGACTGAAGGACGTCGTTGAAGGTGGTCGGTCCGAAGTCTTTAGGCGTCGATGGGTGACTCGGGGGAATGGGGATGGAGACTTTCAGACTCAAATGGAGCCCTAATATTCTTGGGTTATGCAGCACCTGGATGAGTGGGAGGTAATCAGGGTTGATCCATGAAAGGAGAGGGTGGTTCTAATGCTTTGGATCAAGAGCCCTTCACTAGCGTAAAGGCGGAAGAAGGCGGAGACAGTGACTATCTTCTGAGTATGAAGAACTAGAGATATTATTATGGTTATAAGCATAACCATAATTTTTAAAGGGGTGGAGGAGTAAGCCAGTGGAAGGACTCCGTCTGATGACCAAAAGCTCAAGCTGTGGGTCATCATATGATCAAGATCAGCGCCAGGAAACACTTGTCCTGTTTCCTGACAAACCTTACCTAACCTTACTAGAGATCTAATTATATACGTAAGGTGATGTGGAAAGACTTAGAGATTCATAAGATACTATCATATAAAATACTGTTATACAAGATACTATCATATAAGATACTATCATATAATATACTGTTTCATAAGATACCATAGTTTCTGAATATAGAAAGTACATTAATACTGACAGTATAGATGCCAGAACACAGTGCATGCACTCGGCACTTGTTTAACGAATACGTTACACTCACGAGACCTCGGTCACTCCAAATGACATGACCAAAGTCCCAGTACTGTAACATATCCAGTAGAGATGACTCGTCTTTTCTCCATATCATCACTTCTCATGTCTTCCGACGTGAGAGTTCTTCGTCAATCAACCAGTTGGTGTCGCTCCTCTTATCTGCATCTCCGGCTGCTGTGATCTAGTCCTGCTGTGGCTCACGTATTGACTCTTAAATAAATGTTAATACATTATTACCAACACGTTATTCATTGTTAATTCATCAGAATTGATTAAAAAGGAACTCATGTATTAATAGACATTACTCTCACTTGCCACTATATCATCTTTCTTTAATTAAGCAAAATTGGGTACATGAGCAGTGTGCAAATAATAATAATAATAATAATAATAATAATAATAATAATAATAATAATAATAATAAGAAGAAGAAGAAGAAGAAGAAGAAGAAGAGAAGACGAAAAGAAAGAAGAGCCTATTTCTAAGTTGCATCTTCCCTTCTTTCTTCTTAATGGCATGAGTGTGGATCGCACTTCGTGTTCACTCGCCTTATCCTCCCGAGACTCGGGTTCACATCCATTCTTTGGATTACTAATCCCGAAGGAGTTACCAATCCCGATAATGGATTCACTTTACCACGAAGCCCAGGATTTTAGAGCTTTCTTGTGACAATAATAATAATAACAATAACAACCCAGGATAACCAAGAAAGCTGCTCACTGTGGCTTACATTATGGTCCTTCCCCAGGATGCCACCCACAACACCCAGCTACCTACTTACTGCAGTGTCACCCAGGGTTCGAACCCGGTTCTTTCAGTTTTGATCCAAACTTCTTTAAGATGTGAAGACGGGGAGGGGAAGGGAGGAAGGACCTTAATGCAAGTAAAGGGCTCTTGATCCACGCAGCTTCAGTTACCTCCCCTCTCCCTTGGGAAGGGCAGATGGGAGGTGCTTAATGGCCCCCTGTGGTTTTAGCGCTTCTCCGTGAATATTATAATATACCGACTATTTATTTCTCAGTTTAACAATATATTAACATCGTCGACTAAATAATTTGAGTCATTAAACAAATTTTTAAAATTCTAATTGACATTGAAATAATTTTTGAGAAGATATATATTGTAATATTAGTTGGTGCATTGTGGTCCAGGAGGGACCATCATGGTCCAGGATGGTTCAAGATGAACCATGATGGTGGTCCAGGATGGTTCAAGATGAACCATGATGGTGGTCCAGGATGGTTCAATATGAACCATGATGGTGGGCCAGGATGGTTCAATAGAACCATAGATGGTGGTCCAGGATGGTTCAATATGAACCATGATGGTGGTCCAGGATGGTTCAATATGAACATGATGGTGGTCCATGATGGTTCAATATGAACCATGATGGTGGTCCAGGATGGTTCAATATGAACCATGATGGTGGTCCAGGATGGTTCAATATGAACCATGATGGTGGTCCAGGATGGTTCAATATGAACCATGATGGACCCAAGTATTATTCTAGGTTGTCAATTGTTCCAGCCGCGATACTGACTCAAGTTTGGATTGTTTTCGGTCAGTACTGGTATACTAGTTCAGTACTGGTATACCCAACTAATTCAGTACTGGTATACCCAACTAGTTCAGTACTGGTAAGATAAGATAAGATTTCGTTCGGATTTTTAACCCCGGAGGGTTAGCCACCCAGGATAACCCAAGAAAGTCAGTGCGTCTTCGAGGACTGTAACTTATTTCCATTGGGGTCCTTAATCTTGTCCCCCAGGATGCGACCCACACCAGTCGACTAATACCCAGGTACCTATTTGCTGCTAGGTGAACAGGACAATAGGTGTAAGGAAACGTGTCGGAATTTCCACCCGCCGGGAATCGAACCCGGGCCCTCCGTGTGTGAAGCGGGAGCTTTAGCCACCAGGCCACCAACTAGTTCAGTACTGGTATACCCAACTTGTGCAACACTGGTATAACCAACTAGTTCAGTACTGGTATAACCAGTGCGTCTCAAGCCAGGGATCAACAATCACGTTCCTCAACAAAAGAGCACCACCAGTCCTATTTATGCCTCTTATAGAGTAAAGAGACTACAAAAATTGCAACATGGTAGGTTACCATGATGCAGCACTGATATCATGGGCGTAGCACAACAAGGACTCACATTACGATCACTGTCCTTGCGTGTCCCCGAGATAAGGACGTCACGTTTAAAAATTCTTAAATATATTTAAAATAATTAATTTTTTTTCTAAAACTACATTTTTGAAAATTTTATGTAAATTTTGAATAAATTTTTATTTTGTTACATCTTTTTCCTTTGTTAGTATTTACATTTTTTTTTTTAATAAATCTTAGTTAATTTAATTATATTTACGATAGATTAAACATTTTTTAAATGAAAATATTATAAATTAAGTCAAATAAAGTTTTCTATGGGTAACTAAAGTTTATTTATTAAAGAAAACGTTCTAAAATTTTATTGGGTAACTACTATAAGATGATGAGAGAGCATGCAACTTTTTATTCAGATTCAATACATAAATTTATTTTCCTACAGTTGTCTTATATAGTAATATATGTATGCAAATTAACCTAGGAAAACCGAATCTTTTATCACTTATTACTTTAACCAAGAAAAAATTTGACCCAGTCCTTCATATAGAGCTTGTAGAACGGGAGGCAATCACGTCTGGTCCAGAAAAGGGAAATGTGTTAAAAATGTCTCATATTGTAAATTACAACTGTGCAATGGCTCTATATAGCAAACTATACATAACTTAACCATTGATATCCTAGTCAAGTCAAGCAATGTGATTTATTTCCATTATGGCAGTTGATCTCCATTGATTAGGGAGAGCAGCAGTAGTGAATTGTAAGAAGTCACTCTACATCAAGAAGATAGATGCAGCAGAGGACTGAGCATATAATGAAGGGTTTGAACAGAGGAAGGAATCTGGGGAAAGTTTTTGGTCCGTGAGTGACGTCCACGACCTGTGTAGATGTGTTGATGTTGACGCAGGAAGACTCAGCATGCACGTCTTGAGATCATCTTAGCATGTTAAGACCCAACCCCCCTCCTAATAGCATCTGAAGGCCCTCCTAGCATATTAAGACCCTCCTCCTAGCATCTGAAGGTCCTTCTAGCACGTTAAGACCCTCCTCCTAGCATCAGAAGATCTCCTAGTATCTACAACTAATGGTCCAGGACGAACAAGAATATCTAAATAGGTTTCTCTAAGTCGTGAATGTAATTTGTATTGTGGTTTATACCGCGGCTGATGTTGTGGCTCGTGTTATGGATTGTGTTATGTTTTGTGTTGTGGTTTACATTGCGGCTTATGTTCCGGCTTGTATTATGTCTTGTGTTGTGACTCATGTTGTACTTTACATTGTGGTTTGTGTTGTGGTTTGTTGAGCACAATACCGGAGCTTGTACGGGTGTTCCAGTGAGTGAGCAGCACGGAAGACGATACTTGATACTACAGTGTCGTTCATAACCACAAAATTCACATCTCACTTTCCAAAACTTGAAGAGAAAAGGAAGAAGACTTTCCCACGCAGATGAAAACTGAAGTGGTACTCCATTCAGTCCAGTGACTGAAGTGACACTTCAGCCACTCAGTACAGTGACTGACTTCCATGGAAGGTCACACTTAAACAACAAGTGTAAGGAAAGGTGCCCAATGTTGCCACTTGAGTGGGGATCTAACTGGTGTCTTTCAGATGTGAGCCAAGATGGCTGCCACCTGAGCCATAAAAGTTACTTAATTATTTACTTTAATTTCATGGACGAATTACCCACGAAATTTGGCGTTCCGTAATGTTAATTTTACGGTGGGTTGATCTCCCTCACTGCTAGTGGTAGTGCTGGAGGGTTGGTCTCCTTCACTGCTAGTGGTAGTGCTGGAGGGTTGGTCTCCCTCACTGCTAGTGGTAGTGCTGGAGGGTTGGTCTCCTTCACTGCTAGTGGTAGTGCTGGAGGGTTGGTCTCCCTCACTGCTAGTGGTAGTGCTGGAGGGTTGGTCTCCCTCACTGCTAGTGGTAGTGCTGGAGGGTTGGTCTCCCTCACTGCTAGTGGTAGTGCTGGAGGGTTGGTCTCCCTCACTGCTAGTGGTAGTGCTGGAGGGTTGGTCTCCTTCACTGCTAGTGGTAGTGCTGGAGGGTTGGTCTCCCTCACTGCTAGTGGTAGTGCTGGAGGGTTGGTCTCCCTCACTGCTAGTGGTAGTGCTGGAGGGTTGGTCTCCCTCACTGCTAGTGGTAGTGCTGGAGGGTTGGTTTCCCTCACTGCTAGTGGTGGTGGTGGTGGATTGGTCTCCCTCACTGCTAGTGGTGGTGGTGGTGGGTTGGTCTCCCTCACTGCTAGTGGTGGTGGTGGTGGTGGTGGGTTGGTCTCCCTCACTGCTAGTGGTGGTGGATGTGGGTTGGTCTCCCTCACTGCTAGTGGTGGTGGTGGTGGGTTGGTCTCCCTCACTGCTAGTGGTGGTGGTGGTGGGTTGGTCTCCCTCACTGCTAGTGGTGGTGGTAGTGGGTTGGTCTCCCTCACTGCTAGTGGTGGTGGTGGTGGTGGGTTGGTCTCCCTCACTGCTAGTGGTGGTGGTGGTGGGTTGGTCTCCCTCACTGCTAGTGGTGGTGGTGGTGGGTTGGTCTCCCTCACTGCTAGTGGTGGTGGTGGTGGGTTGGTCTCCCTCACTGCTAGTGGTGGTGGTGGTGGGTTGGTCTCCCTCACTGCTAGTGGTGGTGGTGGTGGTGGGTTGGTCTCCCTCACTGCTAGTGGTGGTGGTGGTGGGTTGGTCTCCCTCACTGCTAGTGGTGGTGGTGGTGGGCTATCTCTCTCACTACTAGTGGTGGTGGGTTATCTCCCTCACTACTAGTGGTGGTGGGTTATCTCCCTCACTACTAGTGGTGGTGGGTTATCTCTCTCACTACTAGTGTGGTGGGTTATCTCCCTCACTACTAGTGGTGGTGGGTTATCTCCCTCACTACTAGTGGTGGTGGGTTATCTCTCTCACTACTAGTGGTGGTGGGTTATCTCCCTCACTACTAGTGGTGGTGGGTTATCTCTCTCACTACTAGTGGTGGTGGGTTATCTCCCTCACTACTAGTGGTGGTGGGTTATCTCCCTCACTACTAGTGGTGGTGGGTTATCTCCCTCACTACTAGTGGTGGTGGGTTATCTCCCTCACTACTAGTGGTGGTGGGTTATCTCCCTCACTACTAGTGGTGGTGGGTTATCTCTCTCACTACTAGTGGTGGTGGGTTATCTCCCTCACTACTAGTGGTGGTGGGTTATCTCTCTCACTACTAGTGGTGGTGGGTTATCTCTCTCACTACTAGTGGTGGTGGGTTATCTCCCTCACTACTAGTGGTGGTGGGTTATCTCCCTCACTACTAGTGGTGGTGGGTTATCTCCCTCACTACTAGTTGTGGTGGGTTTCTCCCTCACTACTAGTGTGGTGGGTTATCTCTCTCACTACTAGTGGTGGTGGGTTATCTCCCTCACTACTAGTGGTGGTGGTTATCTCTCACTACTAGTGGTGGTGGTTATCTCCCTCACTACTAGTGGTGGTGGGTTGGTCTCCCTCGCTGCTAGTGGTGGTGGTGGTGGGTTATCTCCCTCACTACAGGTTACAAGAGTGAGGGAAAGTCACTCACGGATCTACACAGCAATAAATATATTTGTAAATAAAAATCAATAGTCCGTGTCTTGTGTGTGTGTGTGTGTGTTTTGGTGTGTGTGTGTGTGTGTGTGTGTGTGTGTGTGTGTGTGTGTGGTGTGTGTGTGGTGTGTGTGTGTGTGTGTGTGTGTGTGTGTGTGTGTGTGTGTGTGTGTGTGTGTGTGTGTGTGTGTGTGAGTGTGTGTGTGTGTGTGTGTGTGTGTGTGTGTGTGTGTGTGTGGTGTGTGTGTGTGTGTGTGTGTGTGTTGTGTGTGTGTGTGTGTGTGTGTGTGAGTGTGTGTGTGTTGGTGTGTGTGTGTGTGTGTGTGTGTGTGTGTGTGTGTGTGTGTGTGTGTGTGTGTGTGTGGTGTGTGTGTGTGTGTGTGTGTGTGTGTGTGTGTGTGTGTGTGGTGTGTGTGTGTATGTGGTGTGTGTATGTGTGTATGTATGTGTTGTGTGATGGTGTGATGTAGTGTGTGTGTAGATGAGTGTGTGTGTTGTGTGTTGTGTGTGTGTGTTGTGTGTGTGTGTGTGTGTTGTGTGTTGTGTGTGTGTGTGTGTGTGTTGTGTGTGCGTGTGTGTGTGTACTCACCTAGTTGTGGTTGCAGGGGTCGATTCATAGCTCCTGGCCCCGCCTCTCCACTGGTCGCTACTGGGTCACTCTCCCTGCACCATGAGCTTTATCATACCTCTGCTTAAAGCTATGTATGGATCCTGCCTCCGCTACATTGCTTCCCAAACTATTCCACTTCCTGACTACTCTCTGACTGAAGAAATACTTCCTAACATCTCTGTGATTCATCTGTGTCTTCAGCTTCCAACTGTGTCCCCTTGTTACTGTGTCCAATCTCTGGAACATCCTGTCTTTGTCCACCTTGTCAATTCCTCTCAGTTTTTTACATGTCGTTATCATGTCCCCCCTATCTCTCCTGTCCTCCAGTGTCGTCAGGTCGATTTCCCTTAACCTCTCCTCGTAGGACATACCCCTTAGCTCTGGGACTAATCTTGTTGCAAGCCTTTGCACTTTCTTTAGTTTCTTTACGTGCTTGGCTAGGTGTGGGTTCCAAACTGGTGCCGTATACTCCAATATGAGCCTAACGTACACGGTGTACAGAGTCCTGAACGATTCCTTATTAAGATGTCGGAATGCTGTTCTGAGGTTTACTAGGCGCCCATATGCTGCAGCAGTTATTTGGTTGATGTGCGCCTCAGGAGATGTGTCTGGTGTTATACTCACCCCAAGATCTTTTTCCTTGAGTGAAGTTTGTAGTCTCTGGCCCCCTAGTATGTACTCCGTCTGAGGTCTTCTTTGCCCTTCCCCAATCTTCATGACTTTGCACCTGGTGGGGTTGAACTCCAGGAGCCAATTGCTGGACCAGGTCTGCAGCCTGTCCAGATCCCTTTGTAGTTCCGCCTGGTCTTCGTCCATATGAATTCTTCTCATCAACTTCACGTCATCTGCAAACAGGGACACGTCGGAGACTATTCCTTCCGTCATGTCGTTCACAAATACCAGAAACAGCACTGGTCCTAGGACTGACCCCTGCGG